TGAAGTTAGGAATCACAGTGTGGAATGGATTAGCAGGGTCTGGTGCAGGGTAACCGCACGCCCCCTGGTGTTGAGCACCAGCGTTTGTGCGGCCACATACCAGGACCCTGACGCAGCTTCAGTAAAAAGAGTACTGGATACCAGAAGCCATCACCAGACTGATCCGCAACTTGGAACAGGATGTGACATTCACTGTTGCAGCTGTGCGCGCTTTTGGCATTGTCACCCTGCTGCTGCTCGCCTGTCTGTGCTGCAGCGTAACTTTGGCCTTCCCACTCACCGCCTCATGAGACTGTGCGAGCAGCAGCAGGCGATAGTGAAGTTTCAGCTGCAGCACGCATGGGTCAGTGGCTCTGCACCAGACTTCCCTCCAATTGATCAGAGTTAAAGGATTTCAGTGGACTCATTACATTTACAGGGCCTCTAAAGAGGGGTCAAGTTCGAGCCCGAATCCAGACTTTTTTTCAAAGTTCGTCCGAAACCGCCGTAGCCGAACATCCAGGTGTCCGCTCAACTCTAGTTGGAACTTCCTACATCGAACCAGCAGTGAATTATTTTTTTTAAACACCAGTGAAAGCAGAGGTTTATCCCAGTGTAGTGTGATAAAATAATTTATGAACATATACAGGGTTAATAACTAGTTAGAATTGTGGGGAGTATTTTTCCAGTTTGGCTACTTTGACCTTAAATTCACTTTGTATTCCCCACAATTTTCACGTTAGTAAATAACCCTGCCAATGTTCTAATCAAAGAAGTTGCTTGCAGGTATAATATACAACTACTGTTTCACTAGTAGTCAGTTGTACAGGAATATATTTAATATACTTCATCATGAATACTAAGCTTCCACAAACAGACCCTGTCTTAGCTCAATAAGTGGGGCATCTTCCCCATATACCGTGCACTCTAACCAAAATGCCATTATTGCAGCTTGCAATCTATGTCATAATTGTTAAAATCAAACAAAAACAATTGAAATAGCTTAACACATCAAATGCTTTAAGTTTTTTTTCCCCCAAATTCAACTGAAAATGCAACTTATAATGACTTCTCCAGTCTCAAAATTATTCAACCCCTTCATGGCAAGCATTTTTAGTACTTAGTAGTATGATCTGCTGCAAACGAGATGCATAGCTAGACACCAGCTTCTGGCAGCACTCTTGAGACATCTTAGCCCCTTTCTCATGAGCAATGGCCTCCAGTTCAGTAATATTCTTGGGTTTGTGTGTTGCAACCGACTTCTTCAAATCCCATCAGAG